GTTTCTCCCCATTTGAGGCTCCGATCTCATTGCTTTATTTGTTAACAGCGCAGTTGCTTTTTTGGAGAGTAGTAAAATAAATGTCATGCTTTGTGTAAAATTTTGTATACATATTTATGTGTATACGTACATCATCTGATCTGAAAATCCTGCGCCTCCGAGCGGCTGATATCAGCAGCTCAGTTTGTCAAAATCGTTTTGTCACATATCGAAACCTCAAAATTATGAATAGAATGTTATAAAATTCACGCTGATGAGAATGTGACTCGGCAAACCTTATCTTCGTCGTAGTTCTATAATCCTAAAATTAAACTCACTACTCCACACATTGGATTAAGGACAAAGGTTTCGGCAGGAGAGATGTACCTTACACTTTTCGCGTTCGTACCTTTCAATGGATCGCCTTGTAAAGTTGGGGTTTACCCAAACCATGTTATTCACGGCCTCGATGTAGTCGGGTGAGTGTCTTGGGGTTCGCCTGGTTACCTTTTGCTTGTACCTTTCGCTAATTCCCTGGACGTCTACGCTTCTCAAATTGCCTTCGCTTGACAGTCTTTTTCCACCAAACAAAGGAAGTTCTAAAGTCTGCGACCAATCCGGATTAACGAATCACCGACAGTTCACCCAATGGAATGGGCTAAATATCTTGATTTCGAACCTACCACACCCATACCTCCCTAGTCCTATTTGGGGTCATCAGTTTGGTTTTTCGTTTTTTATTAAACGAAAGTGAATACAATGAAAGGGGTAAACCCCATGATCCGAGGATATACTGTAAGTGGGAAGACATTCGAGCTAGAGTCAGCTTGTTGATTCTGCGTTTAAAAACAAGGATGTACGCTGGAGGAGAGACTAAAAGGGGGAGTGTTCCGCAGTTGTGCTGTTCTTCAAAAAAAGATGACTGAAAGTTAGAAATGCGACACCTGGGGATAATCACCTGAAATGGGTGTCTAGCCGCTTGTGCGCGGAATCTACGAGGAAGAACAAGCAAGAGAGGGATAGATAGGGAAAAGACATCAGAGCAAAATCCTAAGTGGTATCGTTAGAACAAGGATAAAGAAGCAACTGCTCGACGGGGAGCTAGTGCCTGCAATTTGGATGTTAGGGACGGGTCGTTGATTAGACGGATGGCCCGATCAAGAAGAGAAAGAGATGGACCAAGCTCCACCTCACACATGACTGCATTATTTAAGTGTAGAACGAATCTGAGCTTTTCAAAGTTAGAGGTGAGTGGGGGTAAAGAAACATCTTGCGTGGAAGAGGAAGCCGATTTTACACAATGTGAATTACAGTGAACGGGGAAATCCCCATGGACAAATAGCATACTGTAAAGGGAACATTCACGTAAGATCCAGTTTGTTGATTCTGCGTTTGAAAAGTGTAAGATTGTAAGGTGGGGGAGGAAGTTCGGGGGAAAAGAGATTGAAGTAGAGAAGTACGAGACCTGGGAACAGAAACCTGATAAGGTTGACTAGATGCCTGTGTACGGGATGGGCGGGTAAAAGTTGCAGAAATAGGAACTGCAGAGACAAGTTCCGAAGAACAAAAAGCAAAGTAGTAGCTGTAGAACAGGGACAATGAAACAACTACCCGACGATGGGCTAGCGACTGTAGATTGGAGGTTAGGGGAGGATCATCGATTAGCCGGATGGCCTTTCGTTGAACACGATCAAGTAGAGAAAGAGAACGCGAAGCCGCACCCCAAACTTGACTACAGTATTCAAGAGCAGGGCGGATTTGAGCTTTTTACAATAGGAGATGAGCTGGGGTGAAAAAACGTCTGGCACGAAATAGAAATCCAACCTTGCGCGCAGCACGAGAAGCAAGCTTGGTTTTAAACGAGAACCAGCATGAAGAAGAAGTTATAGGCAATCCAACAAGGGAAACAGAGTCTATGGAACGCAGTTGGGTGGAATCAAAAGATAAATGAGGGAAAAGTGAATGGTGTTTTGAAGAAATTGAAAGGAGAGAGGTTTTAGAACTATTGAACGAAACGTGACTTGCAATTCCCCAGGAGATGTGCTCGGGATCGGAGTCCAGTGACACTAACTGCACTACGGTCACTATCGGTGTTGGTTTGGACATGACGAGCAGTGCGGTAGGAGAGGGAGCAGTAGAGTGTGGCGTCATCAGCAAAAGAATGGATCAGGTTAGTAGTTTGGGAAAGGAGATCATTGATAAATAGAAGGAAAAGGGTGGGCGCATGTACTGAACCTTAGGGAACACCAGCGTTCACAGGGAATGGCTGAGATAGAACCCCATCAACTCGGACGGAGATGGTTCGCTTACTGAGGAAACTTGATATCCACTCTACGGACGCTGGAGGGAACCCGAACATGGGTAGTTTCGCCAGTAAACCTTCGAGCCAAACTCGGTCGAAGACCTTTGAGATGTCAAGCGAGACCAGGTGTGTTTCTCGGTGGTGATCGAGTGGAGCTGACCAGGATCATGAGAAAAGCACCAGCAGGTCACCGGTGGAACGACGCTGTCGAAAGCCATACTGGCGATTGCTCAGTAGTCCTTCACGTTCAAGGGACGTGCGTAGCTGTTCAGAAATTATAGTTGCAAATGCTTTCGAAAGAACGGATTCGAGGGAAATGGGTCGGTACTTGTTGGGTTAGAAAGGTCGCCGCGTCTGAGAATAGGAAAAATCACGGCGTGCTTCCAGGGGGTTGGAAAGGAAGAAAGTTGGACTGAAAAGACGACGTAAAACAGGAGCTAGATGAAAAGAATACATTTTGAGGACGATGGGTGGAATACTGTCCGGACCGGGTGGCTTGTTTGCGTTTAGAGAGCGCAGTGTTCGACAGATTTTCCTAGTGCGGATATGAGGTATAAAAGGGTTGCCAGCGAAGAAGGTGGTGTAGTAAAATGGGGTAAGGTGGAATTGGCGGCAAACTGGGAAGCAAAGACTTCAGCTTTCTCGTTTGGTTGACATACAAGCTCACCAGAGGAGTTGCAGACAGGCGGGAAGTTGGAAGGGAAGAAATTACGGGAACTTGCTTTGGCAAGGAACCAAAATGTTCGGCTACCGGTGGCGGACAACACCAAGTTTTCGGCTTTACGGCGAACGAAGCGTTCTTTGGTTCTCTGAATGGTCGTCGAGCATCTGTTCCTAGCTTGGCGATGGTTGGACAGGGGGGNCAGGGGGGGGGGGGGCGAGCGGCTCCAGCGACGGAAGGCTGAACGTTTAAAGCGTACAGCATGGTCACATGCATGGTTAAACCACTCAGGGGATTTGGGTTTGCCGCGTTTGGAAAAGTGCGGAATAAAACGATGCATACCTTGAATAACAACGTGGGTGAAGTTGAAAGCGGATTTGGAAACATCCGAAGAGAAATAGCAATGGTTCCAGGAATAAGCAGCTAGAAAATCACGGAAACCGTCCCAGTTGGCTGATTTGTAGCTCCAGAATCTGTCTCGAAGTGGATGATGGCTCGGAAATTGAAAACCTAATAGATTTTTTCAGTTTCTACAACCATTATCCATGCATAATCGTGCACCGGTTTTGGTTGCTGTCTTTTGGCTGCCCATTTGAATGAACATGAAAGAGAAAGACAGGAAAGGTTGAAAGTAGGATCAAAGAGAAAGTTTAGGATTTCATTGCCTAAATTTTGCAGAGATACTGACAAGATGCACGATCGCCA